TTTCCAATATGTAATTCTCGACATTGATAATGAATAGTCGCACGGAGATATATCATGTTAGCACGAGGACCTCCGCGTTCCCGCGACTCCAGTCTCGTCTTCTCCGTGCCACAATGGTCAGTATTATTAAATTTTTATTTAGCCGTTTTTTTTTTTTTTTTTTTTTCTTTCAATCGCGTCCATTTGCATCTCGGATTTATGTATTATCTCGTCGTAAGTACGCGAAATCGCGCCACGTCCCACGCGAAGGCGTGCGAAAATTCAACGTGCGTTTCGTCGTACGTTCGATCGCTCGAAAGCCGCGAATATCTTCGAAATATCGCGATGCACTTTCGTGCGGCGCATCGAAACTGTATTTTCAGCAAACGGAATTTCATCGGGAGTCTTGGTCACGTCGGGCACGGTAATTGTACCCTTGTGGCAAGAATTCGTCGCGTGACGAATGATCCAGAACCGAAAATATTTACCTCTTGTCAAGGTATATGCCAGGTAGCCGGTAGCGAAGAAAATCAAGTAGCAAATTACCTGATTATTTTTTTTTCATAAGCAAATGTTTGAGCAAGTGTTGTTTGCACAGCCGGCAACCTCACCGGGTCCTCGGGTATTTACGCCGTCACTCTTACAAAAACAATAATGGGGAATCTGAAAGCCGTAGAAAATTAGCCCCGAATATTATTTTGAGATATAAAAAGTTCGTCAGCCTTACGGCGCCAAAATGACGTCAAGCGATGTTAGAAAGTTCGATGAAAAATATAATTTAGGGAATTAAAGATCATTACATCTCATCTCAATGCGACGTAAATCATAAATCACTGTTCGATGATTCAATCGTTAAAGTGAGCTCGGTTTAATCGTGCAGAAAGAATTCGACATTAAACCTTGGTATTATCGAATTCTTTCCTCGTTTATTATTGAATTATGTATTAGAACGATGGAATCTTTTTGCTAAGTCGTTTTGCTAAGTCACGAAGATCTTTTATCATGGAACTGTGTGTGATTTTTTCTTATTCTATTTTTATCATAAAACTTAGAGGAGACTTAAATCGATCTTTTTATTTACAGGCCGCCAGGAGACGCGTGGAGCAGACTAGCGACAATGGTGAATCTTTTAGAAAAATTAAATTACACGAGGTCGACTTTGATTCAAGGCAAGGATGCGGAGGATCGTGAAGAAGGTAAAGGAAAGTTTTACGCTTATTTTATGCGAGTTCATCATTAGTCATCAATCAGATTGTTTTATTTAAAAGATTCGGTTTTGTAAATTGCTGTCAAGTATCGATTTTCTTTATATTCTAGAAATATAAACTCTAGTAGAGATGTACAAAAATATATCTGAAATAAATAGCGTTAGCACAATTCCAAAATGATAACATTCGATTTACGATGTTGGAAAAATTGATTAGATAGACTCGACAGTAATTTACAAAAGCGAATCTTAAATTATTTGAAAAAGATTAAATTTAAAATCTTTAAGGAATCTACTGACATATTTCTTGACATAAAAGATTGCTGTATCAGCAACACAGTTATCTTTTATGTTAATTATTTAACAAGTTTGTATACTAAATTAATTTCTAATTAGTTGATAAATTCATCCCTGGTCAAAGAATTCTTTTTTCAATTCAATTTTGATATTCTATTGCCGAATCTTGGAATGCTAGTGAATAACTTTTAGGTACACAAATATTGCCAGTTTATATCCTTAAGCTGATTTTACTATATCCTTAATCAATTTTACTACACATTTCAATGACGTATATTTTTTTGATGGTAATGGCATTCACGTAGGATTAGGCGCGCGTGAACAGCGAGAGAAATGGCAGCCGATCGAAACGCTCGGCCGAGATGCTAGCGATTCTCGCGGGCTGACCTGGACCAGACTTAATCGAAAAAGTCGCGTTCCTTGAAGTCGGTGCCCAGTCTGTTGACCCGTAGATAGCTGGCGCGACGGTTGCGTAACGGTGAATACGTTCGACATGACCACTGTAGTGCCATTCTCTTGCAGTCGTTTACTAGCGTGTGGCCAATGGTCTTTCAGCATGCGTGCGAACCACATCGCCACTACATGCACGCCGCGCGCATGTTATGAATACACAAATTGCATTGCCCCGAAGCCCATTCACGTGTAGACCTCGCCACGAAGACGACCCGACGGCGTCTCTCAACTGATTTTTCGGCGACCGCGTCCGCACGAATCTGGCACGCACCGTCGATACATCCGGCCGAATGGCGTTACTCGATTCTTTAAGCTGTAGAAAATTATACATGTGTGTGAATTAACTTTTGATAATTTTTTGATGGCTTTTTTTTTATTTTAAAATGAGCTCCCCAATATTTTTGCTAATGCAGGTTAACTTTAATTGTAATTAATTGATTTAATTTATCTTTTTTTATCTTTTTTAGTTCTTTAGTAAAAATTAACAAAAGACAAAGTGAATTAGATCAAGATTAAAGTTATTCTACATTGATGAAAATGGATATAAAATTATAATTTTAATTTGAGAAGAATATTAAGGATTCTTACACATATTTTAAACGAAAGGATATAGATATACCTCATTTGTTGTAAAAAAAATATCTAAAGCTAGATTCTTTAGCTTTCAATATTAAAATTATAATGTTATATTAAAATTTTTTCGACTTTGCAATGAGTCTGTGACCGATTGTTCATCAGCAGTAGTTATCAGTGATTGGCAGACCGACAAGAATCGCGGCGGTCGGCCGCGGATGCGTACGCTTTTCGCGGACGGAATGTGACAAATTTTTCTATTTTCGATAGATCAGGTAGACATAATCGCGAGTTCGGTCTCGAACTAGGTCTTCCAACGGGTCCGGTCGCCTGGAAACGGACGTTCCAGTTTCGCGACGCGTCCTTGCTCACGGTACACTTACCTCTAAACCTACGTATGTGCAGACGTCAATACGCGTTGCTCATAGTGAATATATTGGTGAGATAGGGCTGATCACGTGGCTGAATAGAATTCATGAGTTTGTCAAAGTTATAGTAAATTCGACTTCAACTTTTTACATTGATGCTGTCTACCAATCTGTAACTATGAAAATTCTCTGTTTTTATTTCTTATTATTTAAATTTAAACAATATTTCACAATATTTGTAACGAAAACGGAAATGAGGCAGATGCGAGTAGCATTATCAGAATTGGCGACGTGACTCATTCACCATTCATTGAAGCAGCAGCATTGTTCATTCATATTTATTCGCTTTCGTATTTTTTTCGGATTTTTTTTAGGCGCAAGTATAATATTTGTACAATTCGTGTGGAAAATTTCAAAAATGAAAATCTTTATTAGTCATTATTGTATGATTGCAGTGAAGAGTGCCATTTTATCATTACCTACATTCGCGTTACGTTATAAAAATTTAATGTCAGACACGATGGATATCGGATCGCCAGAATGCGATCACATTTTATTGATTCTAAACCGTGCAGTATAAACATCTGAGCTCCTTTCGCGATACGTGATATGGATCCTTGTGCGCGTAAATTCAGGACGAATTCGTATGCTTCTGAAAGGGGATCTGATTTGGCACGATCGCAGAACTTTATACGAAAAACATCGATCCTCGTGCATAAAGGATGTACCGGATTTCTATCTTTTATTTCAGACTTGGAACTTGTGAAACTACCGGAAGATATCACGTTGGCCGGATTCACTCCTCTCATGCTGAATCCACAGGATCCTTGCTACGTGGAAAAAACAGAAGATATGGTAATTTACTTTGTTGAATTCTTTGGTTATTACACCGATGTACATATGTGTAATGTATGTGCTTTTATAGTTGATAACGAACTCCAAACAAGTTTAAAACAGAGTATCTCTGAGAAATTTCAAAGTTCCAAAAGGAGTTTTAGTATATATCAGTATTATACCAAGATCTCCGTGCGGTCGCTCAACTTCTATGGGTTGGGTAAACTCGTGTTGCGTTTTCAGGAAGTGGCTCAGATGTGCCTCAGGATAAGCAAGATCCTCTTTTTCGGTCAAGTGTTCTTGTGCGGTTTGGAGACACCGGTGCTGAAATTGCAGAAGAGTGAGACCGGTGTCAGTGAATATGTTTCAGTGGTCGAAGCTTCGAGCACAAGTTCGCCGAGTTCGCCGCCGACACAGGTACGTAGTAACTGTCGTAAATCACTGGAAAGAGAATTCTCTCCAAAGAAAACGTGTTCAGCACGTTCTAGAACCTCACGGATCTAATTTTCTAAAAGCGATGGAAGAACGACTGTAATCTATTTTCAAATTATCTTTGGCTGATCTTGGCATGTAATAAAGAATGT